AAAAAAAAAACAATAATACATTTTTCGTCCAAATTGTTATGTCAAAAAATAAATACCAAACAGAATAAAAAAAAAGAAAATATATGTCATAGTTACTGGTTCTAATGTAAAAATATATTTACATATTAATCATAATGTCAATATTTCTAATAGCATCAAATATTAATTACAAGGTCAAAAAGGATGATTTAAAAATTCGTTAACGGAGTAAAAACACATGTCCAGTAGCCAAGTAAACATTTTACATTTGAATTTATTCATTGGTAACATTTTCAATGCAGGTGGTAGTTTATTATAAATTTTTATTGTCATGCAACTGGCATTTCTACTATACAGTTGCAATCTTTGAGAAGGTACTAGTAATTTACCGGCATGTATTTTTTTCAGTCTCTCAGAGATTTGTTCATCCAATATAAATAAATGCGGATGTCTCCTAACAAATAGACAAACCTCAAAAATATATAAACAAGGGAGTGGAAGAATCTTAAATTTTTTAAACAAAGGCTTACAATGATCCAAATAATCTGCTCCACTCATGGCTCTGATAGTTTTTTTTTTGTACTAAGAATGCTCTTTCTATATCCACTGAATTACCCCATATGACTAGGCCGTATCTCAATACCGAATAAAATTATAAATGACGGTTAAAAAGTACTAAACATATCGGTTACCCATCGTTAAGTAATTAAAAATGACATTGTTCTATTTGTGTTTATGTTTTTGATGGGAGAATTTGTGTCGTAGCTGGTATCATTTTTCCTCCGTGGGTAAACCACAAGCCTCACGCACACATGCAAGATATTTTGGAATGTCATTTTTGTTGCCATTGTATGGTGACGCTCTATCTAGACATTATATAATGTTGCGGAGAACTTAACGGGTAACCGGGGCTCCGGCTCGACGTGCAGGGGAAGGAACGGGGTGGTTTTTAGTCAGTAAGAGTCTGACACTCCCTCGCGTTACCCAGGCGGGAGCAGTCATTCGATGATTTTCCCCCCCTTACAAAAAAAAGTCATTATATAATCAAAGATACTATATAGGCAATAGGCTCATCCCCTATTACATGGGACTCATAACATAAATAGTGAAAAGTGGGTGTTACATTGTACAGTGGTATAATGTGCACCTCTAGGCAGAGGTCCCCTTCGGGGATACTATAATATATATTTGTTTGTATATTTTCTTTTTTTATTGCATAAGCCGATAAACGAGCTGACGGATCACCTGATGGTAAGCAATCGGCGTCGTCTATTGACACCTGGAACATAAGAGGCGTTACAAGTGCGTTACCGGCCTTCTGGGGATTAGGAGGTTGAGAATCGTTGGGGATTCAGGAATTGGGGAGATTGGGGAAGGGGAGGGGTAATTGGGCCTCCGGTAACCTCACTCACACGACGAAACACAACGCAAGCGTTGCTTTACGTCGGTTTTCTGTGAGGCCGTGGTATCACTCCGGTCGAGTCGGCCCATTCGTGCCGAAGCATGGCTCTCCCACACTTAGGGATTGCGCGTACGAAGTCGCTGGCAAAGGCTAGTTGACAAATAAGAGTTGTGCGCAGGTGGCGGCGACGGAGCAGAAGACGTTGATCGAGGAGGCGCAGCGGACCCGCGCGCGCAACCTCGTCACTCCCTGGCTGCCGCGACTGTTCCACAGGAACCTGCAGCCACTGCCCAACGACGGTACGACCGCACCATATCACTTACTAGCGGCCCGTCCCGGCTTCGCACGGGGGGACTTAAGATTTTTTACATAGTTTTACGTTTTATTTATATTTATTCTCAGTTTTTTTTTTTTATTTAGGAAGTATTTACCTTTTGAAAATATTTTTCCGGACTTCATTTATTTATGAACAATTCATCTATAGAGAATTTTTGTATAACTTTAACTATATGCTCAGCGCACGCCACGGAAGGCCTCAGAAACGATACTTTTCCCCCGTTTTTAAAACATTTTTGGTTACTGCTCCACAACTATAGGACCTAGCGTGATATTATAGGGAGCGCGTCCAATATAAGGAATATGCGTTTTTAAAACAAAAAAAGCTTAAATGGAAGCTACTGTTTTTATGTGCTTACAAGAAAACGAAAATGTAGAATGAGATATTTTTAACCGACTTCAAACAGAAAAGGGGGTTCTTAGTTTGCGTATATGTATGTACGTTTGTGCGTAATTATCTTGCGATTGGTTGAACCGATTTTGGTGCGGGGTTCATACAAGTATCTGTTACACTACAGAAGGTTTTAGTACAGTGAAACCTGGTTAAGTGAGACATCAAGGGACCTGCAATGTCGTTTCACTTATAGAGGTATTCCACTTACTCAGTGTCTCAGATATACAGGTATAAATAAATATCTGTCTCATTTACAGAGGGTTCCATTAACAGAGGTGGACTTGGAATTACGTGTGGAATTTGTGGTTAGAATAAGAATGAGTAAACAAACAATGTTATCTCAGTTACAGAGGTCCATACGTATAAAATTTACTCGCTGTTTCAGTTATAGAGGTAACTATGATGATAAATCGAAAGAACTAATCCCAGATATAGAGGTTTACTTCGTCCCACTAACAGAGGTAATTCAGTGCCAAAGTGTTGGGACCTCAGCATGAGTTCCAGTTATGGAGGTTTCTCACTTATCCAGGTCCCACTTAACCAAGTTTCACTGTATATTAATTAACCGACTTCAAATAGGAAAATAAAAGGTTTTTAAATGTAGTTGATAAAATAATTATTTGGTTTGGGATTGTATTTGTAATATATTGTATTAATTTAATGTTAATTACACACACAGGTGTCACAGACCAAGGATGGGTGTACAACCATTTAAATATAACGTAAGTGTCCTTTTTATCGTCAAAAATGCATTGGATTCTTTGACCGGCTGAATATCGGACGGTTGTCTGTCTTCAAAGAGAATTTAATTTTACTATTTGTAATGTGTACCTATTTATTTCAATGTGTACAACATTCCCTGCTAAGGAGTGGAACTCTTTGCCAGAGACTGTATTTCCTGAAGGGTATAACCTGGGAGTCTTCAAGGCCCGAGTGAATAGGTTGCTTTATGGGACGACGTGCTCCATCGTAGACCGCATCATCGCTTACAGACGAGATAGTGGTCCAACGTCGGCGCATCACTACATAGTATAAAACAAAATGTCTGTCCCTATGTATGATTAAATCTTTAAAACTACGCAACGGATTTTGATGCGGTTTTTTTAATAGATAGAGTGATTCTTAAGGAAGGTTTATATGTATAATACATGCATATTGCACCCGTGCGAAGCGAAAAATATTTTAAGATGTAAGAAAGAGCATAAAATAAAATTATTCAACACCAAAATTAACAAAAACCTAAAATCGTGACAAAAGTTGCGGTTTCTTTCTAGCTTTTGTTATTAAACTGTGAAACACCAAGCGGTCACCGGTGACCGCAACCTATTGTTCTATAATTGTGTCTATAATGACGGTACTCGACGAGTTAATAACATAATTTTGGTGTTGAATAATTTTATTTTATGCTTTTTCTTACATCTTAAAATATTTATTGTTGAAAATAATAAAAGTTTTAATTTTGTTTGGTTTTGTGTTAAATTTAAGAAATAAAATCGCGAAACGAAATCAATTGTTTTTTGTATCAATAACAATTATATTAAATGTTATATATAAATATCCCGAAACTGGAACCGGAACTTTCCCGAAAAAAATGTTGTAAGGAAGAAGTAAGGAAGTCTCCACTTTTTGTTTTTGTTCCTTGAAGTTTAGGTAAATTAGCTCACCTTTTTCCGATCAATGGTTATGAGTCCCATGTAATAGGGGATATATGTATTTATTACTAAAACCGGGGCATGAATCCAGACTCTGCTGTTATTGAAATTATGTAGTGTAGGAGACACGACCGAAGTGATAAATAATAACCCAATAACTGAGTAACCCGCGATTTTTTAGTTAATTTAGTATTGTCGGAATACTAAAACGCTACTCAATTTTAAGTCGTGCTTAAGTATAGTTCTGTCTCCACAAATTCTTTGTAAAATGACAGAGATGGCACGATATTTAAGCATGACTTAACCCTCTGCAACGGACGTGGTTAAATTGTTACAATTCAACTGAGGTGTATATTATACCAGACACCATTTCAACAGCAAATATTTTTGTAGAATTAAAGTATAGCGAGCACTATACAGTAAGGTACTCGCAGCAGTGATGCTCGTATTTGAAAAATGACGGTATAACACGTGATTTTGTATTTCGCGGTGTCTGTGGGACTACAC